ATGCATGCACAGTTTTAAGGCAGCTTTAATCACCTTTTTGGTAACTTCATGACTTAACTGACCACGACATTGCATGCACGTAGTTTATTTCGCGCTTTGATATGTAAGGATAAAGGCTACAGCGCGCGCCGGCGGCCTAGTTTTGCCGCGCCTGGCGCTGAAGTTAAGTGGAGCGTGCGTCTGAAACGTCTCCCGTTCTCAGTCGTTCTGCGACTGAATCAATGCACTTCTTGTCAAGAGAAAAAGTGACAGAAGCAGCAGTTGTGAGTGAGGTGGCAAACCCTAGCCTTTTGATAGTCCAGGCCACTTTAGACAATATACTAAATTTAATAAGTAACTTTGAAGCCACATGTCAACTAACTCTCATTGGCGATTAATACAGCATTAGTAGACAGTTAGGTTAGGGTTAGTAGAATAAGTTGACATGTACGTGCAAAGTTACTTATACTCAGTAGAATGTCTGTTGAGGGACCATCAAAATAAAGCGTTAGCAGATATTAACCAGAGAGTCTACAAATACTTTAATGACTGCTAGTTGACATGTAGTTGTAAAGTTACTTAGAATCAGCAGTGTCTAAAGTAGATTATCAAAATGAAGTGTTACACCTTAGTGTATTATAAGTTTATAGAATGGCCATTAAGAAAAAAGGGAATTATAAAAATAAACTAAAGTCAAAAGTCCAGCTTTACAGTAATGTGAATTTAGGTGGGCAAATGTGCTTAATATGGCTTTACAAAATCACAGGTGAAAAAAAATTTTAATTTAAAGCTTTCTTTATGCAAACTATAATTTCTTGTTTTTATTTCTTTTTTTGATTTTGGGGTGGCTTGTGACCTGGTCATGTTTGTGAGATTCACCCATTAATCATGTAGCTGGTATGCCGTATGTGACATCAGCCGAATTATGTGTTATGAGTGCAATGAAGCAGTTCCCTGCCATTTTCTACAGGGGATTCATTATGCTCCACAGAAAACAGTTAAAACGCAACAAGAGTGTCATTTGTGGATGGTTTTTGTTGTTGTTTTGGACAGATTTCAATACAATTTTCCATTTTAAAACAACGCTGCAAACTTTCATAGTGACAGCTCTTCGCACAAGTGCAGGGTTGGGAGAAGGTGTGATAAGTGAATGAGCTTTTTTTTTTTTTTTTTTTAGGAGGTATCAGTCTGAGACTTTAAGGGCTTAGCCTACATTCAGGCAGTCAGCAGGCGCAGGGCTTGCCCGACTCCAGCTCAACCGTGAGTCCTTTGCTCAGGAAGAAAGCATCCTGCTTGGGTTCTCTTCCCAGGAACTTCTTCAGCATGTCAACAGCATCCTCAGATCCTCCAGGCTTCAGAATGCACTTCCTGTAGTCCAGACCCACCTGTTAAATGCAGAAACATGAGTTAGACATCCAAATGACATTTACATACAGGATTCAGAAGCACTGTAGGTTAAATTAACCTTAGGGTCCATGATGCCTTCTTGTTTGAAACGGGCATAGAACATGTCCATGGAGAAGACTTCACTCCACAGGTAACCATAGTACTGAGCATCATATCCTCCTGCCAGGTGACCGAAGGTAGCAGGCATGTTTGTCCCTGAAAGATCACCGGGAAAAAAAAATTAAAATGAGAACGAGGAGGTGCTAATAACAATAACAGTTTGTTCTGGTCCTTGAATCTGATTGGCTGAGAGATATTTCCAAACATGAGATTCACATTCACCCAGTATCACCATGGGAACCATTTCACCATATAATTTTGTAAGGAAAAATGGCTGATGGTTAGTGGCCTAAAGGAGGTCCTACAGGCTATTAAGGTGTTTTCACACTTGAGTCCTCTTTAAAAGAACCAAACCCAGCCCCTTTAAGTGGACCAAGAGGTGGACCAAGTGAAGAAGGACCCAGTTTTCTTTACGTTCACACTGTCCCTGTTCCTGAAAGAGGACTCAGATCCTTTTTTGGTCCACTTAAGCAGTAATGGTGTCTCAGAGCTCTTCGTGTTCGAACTGTTGTTTTTTTGGATCTAGTCCAGTTCTGTGTTTGATGTCGGACCATATGGCCTCCAGAATTTGATCCAGCTGGTCTGGACAAATCTTATTTATTAAATTAGATTATTGAATTGTGTATTGATATTGTATGCCAAATTGTGTTTCTTATTATTAGGGCTGGGTATCGTGTTCAATACTTTTTAGGCACCGACCGAACTGCCTCGATACTATCGAGTATCGAAACATGTCTTGTCGTTCGGTACCAAATTTCGATACCTAAGGATTTAATCTCGTCAACATCAGTAAGCGTGCAGCATGCTTGTTGTGCCTAAATCATGTGCTGGTGATTAGGTGTGTTCGACTTGAAGCGGCGCTGCGCAGACCGATCAGTGTCAGACATCAAATTACCGCGAGAGCGATTCAAAAGCATAAGGAATCGTGTGCTGTCTAATCGTTCTCACGGTACTTTGATGTCAGACATCGATCGGTCTGCTCAGCGCCGCTTCAAGTCGAACACACCTATTGGCTCTGGTGAGGCATCAAGGAAAACACGTTACGTGACCATTCCCACTGTAGCATCACACTACATAAGACAATTTATAAAATTTATACTATGCTTTTGCTCAAAACTCATTTTAAACCACCATCGAGTGTTTGTAATAACCTCAGATTGTGATCTAATGAGGGTTTTGGTCATATAATGTTGCAGAAATATGTTATTTGTAGCCTCAAGCTAATCGCTACACCTGCTTAGCATTTCTCATGTAAACACACTGTATTGTAATAAAAATAGGCAGAATCTCATGAAAATCACGTACAAATCATTTACTGTCGTAATCGCGTGTTTCTTAGCTTCAGGTTTCATCCCTGTAAATGTTTTCCTGGAAGTGTAATGCACGCTCGTCGTCGGAGACAGGGCGGGTTATGAACACGTAATATGATTGACAGATGAGCAGCGAATGAGCTTCCTCTGAGTCAGAAACAGCATTAGTAGACAGTTAGGTTAGGGTTAGTAGAATAAGTTGACATGTACGTGCAAAGTTACTTATACTCAGTAGAATGTCTGTTGAGGGACCATCAAAATAAAGCGTTAGCAGATATTAACCAGAGAGTCTACAAATACTTTAATGACTGCTAGTTGACATGTAGTTGTAAAGTTACTTAGAATCAGCAGTGTCTAAAGTAGATTATCAAAATGAAGTGTTACACCTTAGTGTATTATAAGTTTATAGAATGGCCATTAAGAAAAAAGGGAATTATAAAAATAAACTAAAGTCAAAAGTCCAGCTTTACAGTAATGTGAATTTAGGTGGGCAAATGTGCTTAATATGGCTTTACAAAATCACAGGTGAAAAAAAATTTTAATTTAAAGCTTTCTTTATGCAAACTATAATTTCTTGTTTTTATTTCTTTTTTTGATTTTGGGGTGGCTTGTGACCTGGTCATGTTTGTGAGATTCACCCATTAATCATGTAGCTGGTATGCCGTATGTGACATCAGCCGAATTATGTGTTATGAGTGCAATGAAGCAGTTCCCTGCCATTTTCTACAGGGGATTCATTATGCTCCACAGAAAACAGTTAAAACGCAACAAGAGTGTCATTTGTGGATGGTTTTTGTTGTTGTTTTGGACAGATTTCAATACAATTTTCCATTTTAAAACAACGCTGCAAACTTTCATAGTGACAGCTCTTCGCACAAGTGCAGGGTTGGGAGAAGGTGTGATAAGTGAATGAGCTTTTTTTTTTTTTTTTTTTAGGAGGTATCAGTCTGAGACTTTAAGGGCTTAGCCTACATTCAGGCAGTCAGCAGGCGCAGGGCTTGCCCGACTCCAGCTCAACCGTGAGTCCTTTGCTCAGGAAGAAAGCATCCTGCTTGGGTTCTCTTCCCAGGAACTTCTTCAGCATGTCAACAGCATCCTCAGATCCTCCAGGCTTCAGAATGCACTTCCTGTAGTCCAGACCCACCTGTTAAATGCAGAAACATGAGTTAGACATCCAAATGACATTTACATACAGGATTCAGAAGCACTGTAGGTTAAATTAACCTTAGGGTCCATGATGCCTTCTTGTTTGAAACGGGCATAGAACATGTCCATGGAGAAGACTTCACTCCACAGGTAACCATAGTACTGAGCATCATATCCTCCTGCCAGGTGACCGAAGGTAGCAGGCATGTTTGTCCCTGAAAGATCACCGGGAAAAAAAAATTAAAATGAGAACGAGGAGGTGCTAATAACAATAACAGTTTGTTCTGGTCCTTGAATCTGATTGGCTGAGAGATATTTCCAAACATGAGATTCACATTCACCCAGTATCACCATGGGAACCATTTCACCATATAATTTTGTAAGGAAAAATGGCTGATGGTTAGTGGCCTAAAGGAGGTCCTACAGGCTATTAAGGTGTTTTCACACTTGAGTCCTCTTTAAAAGAACCAAACCCAGCCCCTTTAAGTGGACCAAGAGGTGGACCAAGTGAAGAAGGACCCAGTTTTCTTTACGTTCACACTGTCCCTGTTCCTGAAAGAGGACTCAGATCCTTTTTTGGTCCACTTAAGCAGTAATGGTGTCTCAGAGCTCTTCGTGTTCGAACTGTTGTTTTTTTGGATCTAGTCCAGTTCTGTGTTTGATGTCGGACCATATGGCCTCCAGAATTTGATCCAGCTGGTCTGGACAAATCTTATTTATTAAATTAGATTATTGAATTGTGTATTGATATTGTATGCCAAATTGTGTTTCTTATTATTAGGGCTGGGTATCGTGTTCAATACTTTTTAGGCACCGACCGAACTGCCTCGATACTATCGAGTATCGAAACATGTCTTGTCGTTCGGTACCAAATTTCGATACCTAAGGATTTAATCTCGTCAACATCAGTAAGCGTGCAGCATGCTTGTTGTGCCTAAATCATGTGCTGGTGATTAGGTGTGTTCGACTTGAAGCGGCGCTGCGCAGACCGATCAGTGTCAGACATCAAATTACCGCGAGAGCGATTCAAAAGCATAAGGAATCGTGTGCTGTCTAATCGTTCTCACGGTACTTTGATGTCAGACATCGATCGGTCTGCTCAGCGCCGCTTCAAGTCGAACACACCTATTGGCTCTGGTGAGGCATCAAGGAAAACGCGTTACGTGACCATTCCCACTGTAGCATCACACTACATAAGACAATTTATAAAATTTATACTATGCTTTTGCTCAAAACTCATTTTAAACCACCATCGAGTGTTTGTAATAACCTCAGATTGTGATCTAATGAGGGTTTTGGTCATATAATGTTGCAGAAATATGTTATTTGTAGCCTCAAGCTAATCGCTACACCTGCTTAGCATTTCTCATGTAAACACACTGTATTGTAATAAAAATAGGCAGAATCTCATGAAAATCACGTACAAATCATTTACTGTCGTAATCGCGTGTTTCTTAGCTTCAGGTTTCATCCCTGTAAATGTTTTCCTGGAAGTGTAATGCACGCTCGTCGTCGGAGACAGGGCGGGTTATGAACACGTAATATGATTGACAGATGAGCAGCGAATGAGCTTCCTCTGAGTCAGAAAAGCGATCATGGAAGAGGAAACACAGGCAGACACCGATGGAAGCAGTTAATGCTCATCAGATCACGTAAATCAGTGGAAAGTGAACAGAAATTATGATTCCGTCTTAGCTATGCGTTTTAAAACGAAAATGCAGTAGTGTAAACGTAGCCTAGGGACATTAGTCCTGAGGAAATCATCAGTGAAGAGAGGGCTTGTCTGTCTCCTGAAAAAGTGGACATACTCATTTTTTTGAAGAACTGTTGAGTAGGGCTGCACGATAAATCGAAATGGAATCGAGATCACGATTCGACGGAAGCTGCGATTGTCATGCGTATCTTTCAGTGAAGCACGGTTCTGTGATCAGCAGTAAATCTCCATCCAAAGGCCAGAGGGCGCTCTCACGCTGAAACTCCAAATACGCCTCGCCAGTGGCCACAAATTAATAAGTCGTAGGAACGAATTAACAAGTTGTAGGAATGAATAGCCAATCTGTCCTGTGTTCCACAGCCCTGCAAAGCGCAGAGCCCGATATGAAAGAATTATCTGGGGAAATGACCTAGTTACTACATTTCTATTGCTTTCCATGTTGAAGAACTTCAAAGATCTTAAGCATGCAGCAGTGATCCTCACATACGGACTTAAAATTGTTCATTTTGCACTGAAAACTATTTGAACTTTATTAAAACTATTTGCACTGATTTATTGTGTTGGTTACATTTTGTTCCTTTGTGCAGTGGCTCAGGAGATGAATCTGAGTCTGTAAAAACCTCAACAAACTGAACAAAAAATAGTTTTATGAGGTAATGCAAGTTATTTGAGGTAATGTAATCTTGTTAAAATGGATTTTATAAAATTGGTATCGGAAAAAGTATCGTTCAGGAACCAGTATTGAAGTCAAGGTATCGTATCGAAATGTTTTTAACCATACCCAAGCCCTACTTATTATGTCTGTGTGAGCTCGCTGCAACCTTACTTTCTTTTCCTTTTCACTTACAATGTATGTGCCTCACTAACCAAGAGATTTGTTTGTAAAGATTATTGTTGTTTTTGTTAGTATTATAATTTTGTAAAACAACATTGCTACAGATTTGAATGAGCTTACCTTTGAACATGGAATATTCCTCCAAGTTTATCTTTTGCACAAAAATAGAAGTGTTGTACATCTTTGTAAACAATATTAATTTTGAATTGTTTTCCTTGTTTATGTAGGCTAATCGTGTTTATTTTATAGCACAAAGCATTGATGACATTGAGAAAAACAGGAAAAATAAAAGAATACAATGCTTTAAATTTTTCAGGTTCAGCAGGTATCCTTAAAAGTAGCATTCAAGTAAGAAATTGAATAATCAAATGTAAAAAAAATAAAACTACATATTATTCATTCAAATAATATAGATTCTACTGATTCTCATATTAGGCCGTTGTACTAGAACTGCAGTAATGCACAGATCAGTATATTGATACACATGTGATTTCTTTCCCAAATGTTTACATGCGACTGAGACAAAACCAACTGTGTTTATGTGAACCATGGTGTTTTTGACAGTTTAAACATAATAGACGCTAAAGAGAGTGTAGTTTAGTACCCTGGGATGTGTGTGCTCGTAAAACCGTCAAAAGTTTAAACTGGCAAGGCACACATCCGCGTCTATCTTACACAGTTTGGAAGCAGTTGAAATTAAAATAAACGAGTGTACGTTGTGAGCGAATCATCTTTAGAGATCTTTCAGAAAAAGCAGCCATAATGAACAGCTGATTTATACGGAGACATCTGATGACCAAACTACAGTAGTTGGATTGTTCACATATGGCCCAAAAACCACACGAAACGTGCTCAGACCCCTGAAAAGCACCAGGTGTGAAAACGCCCTTTAGATAGGTGGTCATAATGTAATGTCTCATCTGCAATATTAAGGAGTATTGTAATGAACACGTCTTAGTAAATTTTCCATTTATTGAAAAGGTTCAAGGAAAAAACTGTTACTAAAATTGCCCTTTAAGCCAATTCAGAGCAGATACATATTGAATTATCTTCAAGGGGTTAAAAAAGAAAGATACATTATTTTATATGACTGAGACCTGAATCTCATTTTACCTGGTGAAGCAGGAATTCCCAGGATGTCCAGGCAAAGTCTGGCATACTCCTCAGCTGGGTCGAGCCCACTCTTTGAGTGCAAAGCCTGGTCCACCTTAGCCAGAACAATCTGCCTCAAGTTAAACAGCCCTGAAAAACAGGAAGAAAAAGTTAGTAAGCCAGAGGTTTTAATAGATGTTTAAGGACAGGACTTTTTTTAAATTGTGAAAAGTGGGTGTCACAAACCAGAATAGAAAGTTTCAGCGTTATCACTCCTCCACAGGTCACCTTTCGGC